ACGACAAACCAGCTATGAAACAAGAAGATAGAAGTTTCATTTTTGGGGAAGGAAAAAGTTTTTGATATGAATTATTATCTCTAATCTGTTTAAGCTGGGATTTTATAAAAAAAAAACAATTAAAAAAATTACTTTAAACTAACCCAAAACATACCATTAAAGTCATAGAGAACAATCTTTTATTTCCGGGTGGATCATCTAAATAAGTGGTCCTCCTAATTATTAGTCATTCTGGTGAAATGTTTACGTAAGCCCGTCCTAGTGCTCGTCCGGTTCGCCTGCACACTTTCAGGCATATATCTGTGGTGAGCTTCGGTTTCATACAGTCTCACCGCGATTCTTTGAAAATGGTAGAGGGTCTTAAGCAGTGTTGTATAAAGTACTGAAATCTCGGAGTCAAGTAAAAGTTTAAGTACCTCTCCAAAATATGACTTTGGTAAAAGTCCAAGTCACTGACTGAAATGTTACTTGAGTAAAAGTCTTAAAGTATCTGAAATGGCTTGTACTTAAGTATAAGAATTACTGTAAAAATAGATGTACTCAAGTAATGTAGTGAAAAGTATGAGTAAAAAGTAGTGCAGTTTGAGTTACATTTTTTTTACATTTTCGTAAACTTTAAAGGTTAAATTCACTTAAAATAATATAAACAACCAAGTGTAGGATAAATTTAGACTGGCTTTGCGAAACTGTCGTATCCTACTGGTGTTGATGAACAAGCCCAGGCAAGACCCGACTTTGTAGCCAGTAGGCGGAGTCAAAACACTTGCGTTTCTCTCCCTCTCTTGCTCGTTTTTTTTCTTTTTAACTTAGTAACTAAACCAAACATTGAAATTGCAAGTATGCAATTAAGTTCGTAAATGTAGTGAAGTAAAAGTAAAAGTTCTCAAAAAAAAAAGTATACTCTTGGAAAGCATAAAGTACTCCAAAATATACTTAAGTACAGTAGTGAAGTACTATACAACACTGGTCTTAAGAGAGAAAGTGTCCACGAAGTGCATGAGAAGAAAAGAAAGGCCTCAGAAGAGGCAGATATATCCCAGAATGCTTTGCGCAGAGAGCTTTCCTTGCAAAGCATTCTGGGATTTGCTGTCACAGCCGCTGTCGTCATAGGCCAGGGGTCACCAACGCGGTGCCCGAGGGCACCAAGGGGCCCTCAAGGACCACATGGGGGGCCCTCTTCGTCTTCTGGAAACAGAAGAACTCACTCAGTGGGTTAAGTTTAATTTTTTTTTTATTCTGTTTCTCTTCTTTTTAATCATTTATGTATTATTTCATCATGTTAACTATTTCATCATATTTCAGTGGTTTCAAAATGATAATATTAAAAAGAAAATTAGAAATGAATAAAAGAATAAAATAAGAGTAAAAATGAGTTTTTATGGATCCTCCACAATACCTTTAGAATCCATCAAGAACCTGCTGAAAGGTAAAACTGGGAACCTGTGGACCAATTTAAAGCCCAAATCTTATATAATCATCTATATGATGAAAAAGAGGAAGCGTGCAAATTATCCTTTGATAGTACTTCTCTCACATCTGTGAACATGTGAGCTGCCGCACTGTGCTGCATGATGCAGGAAGTTACCCATCAGCGGCATCCAGCTCACTGGGTTCACGTGAGCTCTGAGGTTTTTGTCCAACACTGACGGGGCCTCGCTGATTCTATCTGAACTGTTGAACCTGAAGCTGTTAAATCCTTCACACATGAGAAACCACAGGGTTCAAACACCACCAGTTCCTCCCAAAGCCCGGGCCCTAACGCCACTGCAGGTTTGCCATGTTTGGTGGGATGTGAAAACCCTGGAGGTAAGGTTGTTTTTGGTAAAAAAAGGGAAGTAGTTATGACATCATAGAACCAGTACCCTGCCATTCGTAGCTCCCAGGAGAGCCGAGGATGACGTCGCTCTGTGTGATGGAAGCAGAGATCCCAAAAGTACACATTCCCTCCTTGAGATGATCCAGCCTGTAACTAAACACACACAGCGGGCTCAGGGTAGCGTCCCCAATTGTTTCCTCTCGCGTGCTAAACGTAAGGCCATGTGACCTACTCGCAATGCTGCTGCTGTATGTTCTGCCAGTTTAGATCCTCTTCTTGGTGCTGTGCATTTCTATGGAGATAACAGTGGCCAGTCATCCACCTCTGTCCAAGGTGAACCTTAATAAACCGATGACCGCAGGCCTGCAGGGACATAAGACACACCGTGGGTCACATGGTACACAGGATGCTCATCAGGTTATTGTGGTCTGTTGTCAGTCATGATGATGCAGTGTTAAATGATCCCAGCCGGTGGTCAGTGAAAGATGGAGGTAGGGCAGAAAATTCAGGTTAAGTTCAGATAGATTAGTGGACAACTGAAGAAACCATTAAACAGCCGCTCGCCAGGCTGAAATAAGAGACTCACCAGGATCCTCCCTCCAGGTCTGCCCTGACTGGCTACTGAGACGCCCAACCACATGTCCTCGACCAGGTCTTCAGACGGGGTCAGGTTCGCTACGGCACCAAGAGAGAAGAGAGAAGAGTGGGAAGCCATAGCAAAAACTGGTCAGCCCTTTCACTCAGCGAGACTCTCTCACTTCCTCTCACTATGGTTTGTTGGGGAAATTCGTGGTCAGCAACACTAGAATTCCCAGGCCCTAGGACTGTAAAGAACCCCAGATCATGACCGCTCTACCTCTGTGCTTTTCACTGGGTAAAGTTTTGTTCTTTCTCAAACTCTGTTTTTAGATCGTCTCCAGCCACAGTGATATGCATCATTGCCAAACATCTCCCTTCTTTGGTCTGTTCTCTTCCAGGGAGATTATTTAAGAAGTCTGCTTTCAGATGCAGCTTTGCAAACCTAAGTGCAGCCTTTGTGTTGTTTTTAGAGATAATAGGTTTTACTCTCTCCTTGTGGCTCCTTCCTTTACTAATGGTTTTTATCATGAAATTGTCCTGTAATGCAACATGAGGCTCGCAGAGTCTTACTTTAAGGAAGTGTGATCTTGTCTGACTTTGCATCATATTTTGTAAAATAAAACAATATCATGACATGAAACATATTTTTGTTTAAGGTTTTTCAAAAAGCAGGTTAGAACTTGTCGCAACTATTTGACATATTGCACATCATTGTGCACCAGGTGTTTTGCTTTATATTGTCTTTTGTTTGTATGTTTGTGTTTTAACAATTTTTTCTAGGTTATTTTTATGTCAGTCATAATCTTTATTATTTGTGAGTGCTGCTTTGTTCTGAAACAGACAGCAGCTGTCAAAGCTCGGTGACTGATGGACTACCCATAATGCACCAAGATGGCGATAAGATCACAGGCAGCAGACGGGTTCATTGTTAGCTGTGATGAATCAGTCACCTAATCAGCTCAAAGTCCAGAACCAAGCAGCTAATGTTAGTTGTTTTCTTTCCGAGTCGTGACTGTCAGGCTTCCATCTCTGTGATTGGACGTCACAGAGCTCAGCTGGATGTTGGGCTAGGAGTTTTTGAATCAAACCATTCATTGGGATCCTAACGTCTATGCTATTTGTTTGTTGCAGAGGATCCAAAAAAGAAGAGGCAACCTGCATTTGGAAAAGGCTGTAAAATCTAAAAACTAGGGGTGTCAACAATAATCGATTCAGCGATGCATTGCAATGC